TTTTGTGTCAAATTCCAGTGTTCAGCACAATTTTTCAGTCATTCATGGACATATACACACTCATTGTCACATTTTTTTCTCTGTGATTTATCATAACATTTTGTGTATATTTCCCTGTGCTATACAGTGTAATCTTGTTTATCTATTCTATAATTTTGAAATAAGATAAATTATTTTAAATGACATAGTTTCAAATTTTACTTCTATCAAACCTATTATTAATTATGACTAAGCATTAACCATGTGTTCTCAAATTTTTTTAAGTATTTAAAATTTTATTTAAACAATTCCAATTTTCTTTAGGAATCATACTCTTTTCTGTTTTCAAATTTCATGTTTAATTGTCTACTTTCTAGATGGAAAAAAATTTAAGTACATTTTATTGAAAAAAAAAACACAAAAAGTGGAGCAAACTATTTCAAAATGGTGAACACCATAGGTTGTACATACATAGTTGCAATGACTGTGGTTTCCCACCAGTTGCTTTTCTACATTCTACCCACTGGCCAAGACAAATGATGTGTACAGGACGTAGTATTTAGACATATAATCATGATCCCAGAGTTCATACTAGTGATTCATTAGTCTCTGTGGGAATAGCAGAGCTGAAGAAAAATCTTATTTTTAACTTTACTAGGATATCAGGTGTCTACAATTGACAATCTGTGATTTTAAATTTAATTGGGAGAAATCTTTAAATAAGTTACTTATGACACATTTTTAAAAGCCATATGGGGGAAATTGTTTCAGAGAGCAGCATTCAAGACATTCCAGATCCTTGCAAAGTTCAGAAATTTGCAAAGCTGGCAGTCCCAAACAAAGGTCTAATTTGGGGTAAACTTACCATCCAGCAAAATTAAACATGCATAGATTAGAATATCTTACTAGATGTGTGTTCCTGCTTTGTTCTACTTTTACTTCGCTTTCTGGTGCAGACATTTGTCTTTCTTACATTTCTAGCTATTGTCCTATGATGAGAAATAGGAAATCAACAATGCTGAATCTGCTAAAGCACTCACTGTTCTAAAACTTCTTTAGTTGAATATTATCTTTCTGAGCTGTATGTCATCAGGCAGATGCTATTCTTCCATCAGAACAACATCTAACCTTAAGGCCTAAAGTCAATCCGCTGTTATTCTGCCAGGTTCTTTTTTACCACCTCTTATCTTTGCTGTCATTTTTTTTAAAGCTTCAACTCCATAAATTTCTTCAGCAGACTTATGTAGAATACAGTTAATACCTACAGTAATTATGTCAAACTGAAACGCATCTTGCAATTCTTTGAATACTTCACATTAATTTGCCTGGCCTTCCCGTTTAAAATTTGACCAATTTTTCTGTAGCCTTGGGGTATAGTTCTCCAGATCTTTGAGGATTTGAGTCACTTTTTCTCAATATGTGTCTCCATATTAACATTATGATTCTCCACAGTTTTCTCAATGTGTCACTGCTATCTGAGATCTTTTCCAACATCCATTGTTTGATTTCATTGGGCGGCAGGCACCTTTTCTGATTTTAGACAAACTGAACATCTTTCCCATTTCTAAGACTAAACTTTAGAACTTCACCTTTATAAACATGTCATCCTGATCTTCAAGAATTTATTTCTCCTTCTTAGCTCTCCATCAAATGTTTTAGGCTAAAACCTAAAGCTAAACCTTAAAGCTTTGCTCAGGGTGGCCAATTAAAGTCAACTACACAACCCCAAAAAATAACTACACATCACAATAAAAGCTACTGTAATGTCAAAATTGTACCTGGTCTGGATGACCAAAAAACCTCAATTTCTGAATGTTCTTTAACTCCCCAAACCTCACTTACAATCTAAATGTGGGTATTTTAAGACCCAATAAATAGAAATTCTGTCCATTGCCAAAGTTTAAAATTTATATGAAGATAGACAAAGGAGTCAGACAATAAGAGATCAAAATGTTTTATTACTGAAACTGCTGTTGGGACAGTCATTTAAGTATATGAAAAAAGGTGGTTCCTAAAACTGAACCCCCAAGTTAGATAAAGTTACCTGACACAGAAAGAGCAGGTATTCACAGGTTTCCAAGATGTACAAGTGTAAAACTCACTTCTCCTTAAAAATAGAGCCTACTCTATTATGATTCCATAAATATGTTACTCTAGAATCAAGAACTATGAACTCACAAGGAAGGAAATGAAACTTTATGTCATTAGCATCTTTGCCTAAAGAAGAGCTTTAGAAATATCAACAATGAATGTACTTGTATTAATATCTTTTCAGATTTCTAATGGTTTTTTCTTCCTCCTGGAATACATTTAATTTCCAATTTCCCATATCACCATCTCTAAAAATGTATTGATAAGGTTTATGACAAACTTTCCAAATTCTTAGAGATCTGTAAATATATTTTACACCTAAAATTACTTGACAATTGTAAAACTACTGTTTTAAAATAATTTTTCCTCAAAACTTTGAAGGTACTACTCTTCTGGCTTCCAGTTATGTCTAATTTCAATTG